ACTCGGAGAGAAGGTAGATTGAAACAGACAACAAGCAATATAATACAAAATGTTATGAGTAAAGTGTGTTACTCAGATCCTTCTAAAATACATTTCTCCCTTTATTTTGAAGGCCATGGTATAGGCGACTCGGCTAATGGAACCAGTCTCTTCCTTTGATCATCAGTAGGGTTATCTTTTCGGGAAACTGAGTCCCAGCTCAGATAACAGTTTTAGCTGAGGCTGACATGAAAGACACGGGGCTTGTTAATTATTAGCTCCTTGAAAAGCATGTCTTTTCTCTCTTTAAATTAATAAACCCTCTGCTGAAAGCACAAGAAGAAATGCTGTCAGGTCTTCTGGGCGGAAGAAAGGAAATTGATTTGATCTTTGTTTTTTTTTTTTTTTCCCTGGGTTTGTGTGCAGGATCCAGCTTTCTGTCTTAGCTTTGCAGACAGCTATAGCCTGCAGGCTCTGGGTGACAGATTTCAGTCAAATGAGAATGGAAAGTAATGTAATGCGGGTGCATTATTTAATCTCCCAGTGTGGGGACAGCTTGCAAAGGTGTGGAAGGAGTCTGGCATATAATAGACGCTCAAGAAATGCTCAGAATAACTGGATTACATGAAGGTGAGCACTTGAGAAGGTGCTAGGCTGCTTTCGGCAATAGCCTCGCTATTTCTGTATGCATCTGCATTTGAGAGAAGGAATTAGGGACTGGCAAGGACCACAGCTGCGCCGTGCAGTGCAGTGGCCACTGGCCAGATGTGGCTATTTCATCATTGAAATATGGCTACTTTGGGCTAGCAGGTGGCATGGTGGTTGGAGTGCTAGACTTCCACATAACGAAACATGGTTCAAGTCCTGGATCTGGTGGCTTGCTTTCTCATTTTCTCTTTCTCTCTTTCTCTCTGGTGAGCACATGTACACCACAGCAAATTAAAAAAATAAAATAAAATAAGTAATTTTTTTGAGAGGTTTTTGCTATAGGGCACCTGTGCTTGCCAGACAGACAGAGAGAGACAGGGAGACAGAAAACGAGAAATCACCCCCTAGAGTGATGGCCATGCCACCATCCCTTCTCCTCCATTCTCCTTCTGGGATCTTGAACATACACATGCATGCACCCAGCATGAGTTTAAGCCACTGGGTCTGGGACTCAAACTATGGTTGACTACATGATAGTCCAGTGACATAGCCATTACACCAACTGCTGGTCCCAAAATAAGTAATTCTTTAAAAAAAAAAAAAAAAAACTTCTAGCCCCATCTATTGTTTAAGAAATTACAAGGATTTAAAAAATATTATTTATTTAATTTTATTTATTCATTCATTTATTTTAATTTGACCAGAGAGAAACAGAGAGAGAGAGAAAGAGAGAA